ACATGTTTTCCCCAGAGAAGAATGTGATGTTTATTTTACGCTTTCCTGCCAAAGGGCTGGTGCTTATTTTGGGGCCAGCCTGGGCCCGAGGGCAGGATCCATCCCTGGCAAGTCTGATGCTCCATGCCAGGCTCTTGAGGATGCCAGAATCCCTCTGGATTTTGGCAACAGGCAGGAACTGAGCAAGCAGTGGGAAAGAGGAAGGAGTGGGAAACCCAGTGGAGGAGGAGAGAAAATGGGGATGGAAAAGCAATAAATGAGGTGCAAAGGGAATTGTGGTGCCCACGGCATCCTCCACACACATTGAGGGTAAATCACGGCTGCTCCGACCCCGCCGCAATCCCGTGCATTCCTCTCGGCTGAAGAACAGGATTTAATGTGCTGAGCATCCAGCGGCATCTGCCCAGCACCAGAATCTCCTGTTTTGCTTCAAATCTGTTTATTTGGCCAGAGCAGCTCGTTCTGCTGCTGCGGAAAGGGCTGCTCTGTGCCTTGCTCACCACTGCGGGGGGTTTGGGCTGGTTTTGGTGCCCTCTGCCCTGGGTCACGTTGGGTTGGCTGCTCTCACTTCCCGCAGCTGGGCCCCAGCCAGGGCACAAGCACTTCCTACGGGACCATCCCACAGGGAATCCAGGCAGCCAGTGCCTCAGTTTCCCTACTGTAGGAAAGGGATAACAGCCCTTCCCTGCTGCTCAGGGCTGCCGTGGCAGCATCCTGCATTCTGCAGCCCCATCAATCCCCATCTCCCCAGGGCTGGTTATCCCACCAATTCCCCAAAAGCAGAGTCCAGCCCCAGCAAGCCAAATTCCTGTCTAGCCTCTTGGCCACAGAGGGTAAAATCACAATGAGCCAGACTCCATCCTGGTTAGTATTTCCTTGGCAGGATGAAAAATGTGGTGGGGGGGGGGGGGAAGCGCTAGGGACCATGTTGTGACAGGGCTGCTTTGGGAGGACCAGACAGGAACTGGGGGGCTCTGGAGGGCAGTTGGAGCCCAGCTGGGTTTGGTGAGAGTGGTGATGATGGCCAAAGGGCTGTGGGGAGCACAGGGAAGGATCCCCCTGACATGCTCACTTGGGCAAGGGTGGATGCAGCTTCCCCAGGGATGAAACTGCCAGACCCGCTCCAAACCCATCCCTTGCTATAGGGGGTTTAGGGACACCATGGAGGGCAGCACCCCAAACCATGTCCCTAAATGGCAATGTGCCCAGGGAGGTGCCTGGAGTCCTCATCCCACGGGATCAGCCACACTGTGGACGCAGGTGTCCAGGTCGGGGGGGGACACATAGAGCCCTTCTGTCACGCTGCCAATGGGTGTCCGCCCTGGCACGACAGGGCACAGAGGGTGGCACTGCCGAGGTGCCCCCGTCGCTGTCCCCAGCCCTGTCGCACAAAGGCAGCGCCGTTTCCCGCCATCCCCCTCACTCCCCAAGCCTTTCCTCCCCCTCTCCTGCCCCTTCACCTTCCTCCTCCCTGGCTGCTGCCGATGAAAGCCCAAACCAGTGAATCGAGGGGCACAAAGGGGAGGCACAAAGGGGAGGCCCTCTCAGCCCCTCTGTGGCCCTCACAGCCACCCTGGGATGACCAGTCCTGTGCTGCCTTTGCTGCCCATCCTGCCCATGCTGTTCATCCTGCCTGCCCTGCCTGCTCTGCCTGCTTTGCCCACAGCACCCAGGAGCCGGCACGGGGCAGGAGGATGCTCCTGGGACCCGAGGGGGCCCCATAGGGTCAGGATGATATCCTTGGGGTTTACAGATCCTCTATAGGGGTGGATAATGTCTCTGGGACCAGGGAATGCACTATAGCCTCAGGTTTATGCCCCGGGGCCGGGCGATGGCCCATAGGGTCAATATGATGCCCTTGGGGTTTGGGAGTGCCTCATAGGGTTGGACATGCTCCTGAGACCAGAGATACATCACAGCATGAGGATGATGACCTTGGGGTTCAGGGATACCCCATAGAGTCAGGATGATCCCCTGGAGCTAGGGGAAGCCGGGTAGGATCAGAATGATGCCCTTGGGGCTTGGGGTGCCCCACAGGGTCATAATAATGCCCTTGTGGCTCAGAGATAACCCAAGGGTCAGGATGATGTCTTTGGGCCAGGGGAAAGCACAGCAGCAGATAGGATGAGGCAGTCTGGGTGTCCTCATTGGGCAGCAGAGAAGGGACCTGTTGCCCTCAGCAACAAGAGAAGCAGGAGTCTGGTGGCCCCAAGGACACTGACACCCCTCAGCCCTTCCACCCCTTGGGGAGGTGTGCCCCAAAGCCTACCATAAAGGGTTGCTTTCAGCACCCCATCTGGCTGGGTCAAAGCCAAGCCAGCAGCATCCCTCTGGCTGAAAGGGATGCTGGGGGCCTCGAAGCCCCTCACCCCGGCTCTCCTGGTCCAATACGCCTACGCCTGGTGGGTCTGGCTGCCAGCAGCTGTTGGGAAGCAGCTTTCCCAGTGCATAGTGACAAATTCCTGGCGGTTGAGGATGCTTTGCAGCCACCGCGGCCCCGCCGGGGGAAAACTGCCCTGGAAAGAGGTGAATTAAAAGCTCTTTGGCTTCAGTGGTGCACCCCAATGGTCCCCTTGCACAGTTCCCTGATATGTTGCGGACACTGCGGGCTGGGGCAGAAGTGGGATGCTCCCACCCTTCACCGTGTCCCAGGGGCCCAGCAGGGAGAGCTCAGCCCTGCCTGGGAATTGCTTCCTTAATTAATTTGCTTTGTAGCATCACGGCGGGGCCTTGGCCTGCCCCAGGGACCAGCTCATCCACACAGACCATCCTCCTCCTCCTCCTCCACAGCCCCTGCCCCCCTCTTTTCCCAGCTCCTATTTCCCCAGATTTTCTGCTCACTCTCAGCCTTAACCAGCCCCACCGGAAAATCGGAGCAATCCCCATGGCCACTGATTTGGCTGCAGCCACGTTGGGGTACGGAGGGGGAACAGCCCTAGGCAGTATCTCTGGGATCTACAGATGGTGCTTCCTCACCAGTGGAGCTGCATCGCTGCTCCTGGGCTATGTTTAATGGGGTCTGGTTGTTGTTAAGCACCCCTAGCTGCATGGTGTGGTACGAGGGTAGAGCACACGTGCGTATGTGTGCATCCTCATTCCAAGGGTGAAATATTTGGCTCCCACAAACAAACGTGAGACCAGAGTGGAAACATGTGTTTGCCTTTGGCAGCTCAACCCTTAGCCACTGCCTGTGTTGGTTCAGTGGCAAAGGGGGTCTTCAGGGAGGCTGGTGCCTTCCACAGGGCTGGGGAGGTGAGAATCCTCCTCCACAGTCACAGAAGCTCAGGCTGGTTTGTGTTGGAAGGGAACTTAAAGCTCATCCAGTTCCAACCCCCTGCCATGGGCAGGGACACCTTCCACCAGACCAGGTTGCTCCAAGCCCCGTCCAGCCTGGCCTTGAACACTGCCAGGGATGGGGCAGCCACAGCTTCTCTGGGCACCCTGTGCCAGCGCCTCAGCACCCTCACAGGGAAGAGCTTCTGCCTAAGAGCTCATCTCAGTCTCCCCTCTTGCAGGTTAAAGCCATTCCCCCTTGGCCTGTCCCTACAGGCACCTGTAAAAAGCCCCCCCAGTCCCAGTCCCCTCCACCCCAAAGCTGGGGCTGCCCACAGGTAGTCAGTGATGGATGTCCCAAAGCCCTGGAGGAGGCTGGTCACCCTGTGGGGTGCCACCAGCCACGGCAGAGACCCCTGGGGCCATCCCCATCTCCCAGGGGACACCCCAGTATGCTGCTGGAGGGGACCCCCAGGAAGCCCTGACCCAGAGGCCCGAGGAAGTCCCGGGAGGAAGGTGACAGCGGGGCCGTGCGGGCCGGGAGCTGCTGCCCTTTGTGTGCGTCTGCCCTCCTGAGCCGTCATTGTTCCCACGTTAGGGCTGGGCTGGGGGGGGGGGGGGGTGTTAATTGCGGGTGGGCAGGAGCTGTGGAGCCCAGCCCCCCCGCATCCCACAGCCTGGAATTTTCCCACAGTCGTGTCTCCCTCGCAGCAGGAAACCCACCGCCTGTGGCACGCACAGCCTTGAACAGCCGTGCACACCACTGCTCACAGCCGTCAATGACTGCACAGCCACGCGCAGCCATGTACCACTACACAAAAGCGTGCACAACCACACGCAGCTGTTCACGACCGCACACATCAGCACGCACAGCCGTGCACAGCTGCCCCAGTCTGCTCACAACCATGCACCGTGACTAGCTACGCACAGCCAATAGCAACAGCGCACAACTGCACTCAACTGTTCACAACCACGCGCACAACTGCACCCAGCGGTGCTCGCATGCACAGCCGCGGCTGCAGCCCCACAACCGTGCACAAACACGTACAGCACTGCACAGCCGCCCGCGAGCGCGCACAGCACTGCTCAGCCACAACCGACCCTGCACAACCGCACGCGTTCACGCACGGCCGCCCATGGCCACGCACGGCCCTGCACGGCCGCACCAGGCGGCGCCGCTCCTCCCGCCCCGCACACAAAGACCCGCCGGTGCGCAACGCCGCCATGTCCCTGCCGCCTCCCGGTGCAGGCCGCCTCGGCCCGGCCCCGGCGGAGGGCGGGGGCTGCGGAGCCTCCCCTTCCGGCCGCCATGGAGCCGGGGGAGCCCGGGGAGCCCGAGGAGGCAGCATGGCGCGGGCCGGGCGGGGGACCGCTGGGCGCGCGGTCGCTGCTGGAGCTGGCCGTGGCCACCGGGGTGGCTGCTTGGGCTGCCTGGGCCGTGCTGCTGATGCCCGGCTTCCGCCGGGTGCCCCTGCGGCTGCAGGTACCGCCGATGCCCCCCCCTCCCCAGCCCCGTGACCTCCCGGTACTCCCGGCGCTGACCCCGCTCTCCCCAGGTGCCCTACCAGCCCTCCGGCCCGCAGCAAGCGGCCAACGCGCTGGCGCTGCTGCGGGGACGCTCCGGGAAGACGGTGGATCTGGGATCGGGAGATGGACGGCTCGTAAGGGCGGGCAAGGGGATGCGGGAAGGACAGGGAGGGGGTTGTGCCCAGCAGGAGGATGGACGGGATCTCCCCCGAGCAGCTGCTGCCCGGCGCCTGGCTGGGCTTCTGATGGCCCTCCTGGGTGGCCCTAGATAATCCTAGACAACTCCTAGACAGTCCTAGCTGGCCCTAAGTGGTCCTAGACAAGCCCTAGATGGTGCTAGCTGGCCCTAGATGATCCTAGACAAGCCCTAGGTGCTCCTTGACAAGCTCCAGGTGGTCCTGGTGGTCTTAGACAAGCTCTAGGTGGCTGTCGACAGTCCTAGATGTCTAGGCCCAAGACTAGCCCTCGGTGGTCCTAGACAGCCCTAGGTAGTCCTGAACAGTCCTAGGTAGTCCTAAACAAGCTCCAGGTGGTCCTAGGTGGCCCTAGACAGCTCTAGACAGTTCTAGATGGTCATAGACAAGCCTTAGGTGGCCTAAGACAGTGCTAGGTGGTCATAAATAGCCTTGGACTGTGCTCTGTGGTGCTAGAGGGTCCTAGACAATCCTAGGTGGTCCTTGATGGCAACAGAAGACACCACATGCAGTGAGCAGCATGGAAAAGAACTCTAGGAGGAAGGTGCCAAGGACTGAGGCCACCCTGCCTGTGAGGAGGGGGCAAGTGGAGCTGGGACACAGCCCCTGCCCCCTGAACTGTCCCCCAGACTCGACCCTGATGTTTGTTTTAGTTGCAGCTCTCTCTGTCTCTCCTCAGGTGCTAGAGGCTTATAAGCAAGGTCTGAGACCAGCCATTGGCTACGAGCTCAATCCCTGGCTCCTGTGTCTCTCCCACTACCGGGCCTGGAAGGCTGGTTACCATGGGAAGGTTTTCTTCCTGAAGAAAGACCTGTGGAAGGTAACAGTGTCCCAAGGTGTGGCTGTGCTCAGGCCAGTGCTAGGGCTTGGTCTGCAGCCCCAGCCAGGGTTTGCTGGTGGTTGCTTGCTCCTTCCTCAACCCATGCTGCTCCCAGGAGGTGTAAAACCGTTCTCCTTCCCGGGGAACGCCAGCCTGGGCAGCCTGTGGCTGGCTGCTGGTTCAGCAGGCAGCAGTGCTTCTTCTTGGAGCAGCTTTGATGAGAGGTATGAGGTGCTGCTGACATATGGTGGCCTTCAGAGGTGTACTCCTAAAGATGCCTGCAGCCTGACCAGAGAAACCCAGCAGGGAAGGTGGATCTGGGATGATGCTGGAGGCAGGCACTTGCGAGTGGTACTGCTCCCAGTCACACCATCACATCCTCATCCCACATGTTGTGGGGCGTCTGTGCTTCCTCCAAGGTTCAGAAGATCATTCAGAAGGTGGTGAGACACTCAGTTTCCCCCTTGTCCCCCTCTGCTTGTTGCTTCTTGCATTCCCCTTTTCCATCTCTTTTAAGGTGAATCTTTCTGATTGCCACAATGTGATCGTGTTCCTGGCCCCCAGCGTGGTAAGTCTGTCCCTCACACCCTAGCTTGTTCAGAGCAAACTCCAAGGAGGGTTTTCTTAGGAAAGAGAGAGAATCTGGACAGTGGCAAAGACTCCTTAAAAGATAAGGCTCTATGAGTGGTTTGGTGCTCAGCACCATCCACATTTATAGAATCATAAAATCATTTAGGTTGGAAAAGACCTTTACCCCAGCACTGCCAAGGCTGTGTCCCTAAGTGCCACATCTATACATCTTTTGAATACCTCCAAGGACAGCGACTCCACCACTGCCCTGGGCAGCCTGTTCCAATGCCTGACCACCCTTTGGGGAAGAAACTGTTCCTAATACCCAGTCTAAACCTCCCCTGGTGCAGCCTGAGGCTGTTTCCTCTTGCCCTGTCTCTTGTTATTTGGTCCTAGTCCCAGCCATGCACAGGGCTGGCACCAGCCGTATGTTTTGGAAGGGTTGTTGGTTGATGGAGCCTGCTTGGGCCCCACCAGCCCTCCCGAGAAGCTGTCCTGTGGTCGCTGGTGGCACTGGACCACGTGGCTGTCTGTTTCTCCCCAGAAACCTCCCCTGGCTACCAAGCTCCTTGCAGAACTCCCTGATGAAGCCCGGGTGGTGGCTGGACGCTTTCCCTTCCCCTCCTGGACCCCCACCAGCACCCTTGGGCAGGGGCTGGAGCAAGTCTGGGCATATGATATGAAGAAAGTGCGGCGAGCAGTGCAGAGCAGCACAGAGGGAAGCTGGGTCCAAGAGCAGGCTCCTTAAGCCTGGCATTAAGCATTGGAGTCCTTCCAGTCCTTGGGCTCAGCTCAGAGCTGCTTGGCCAGGCTTTTGTCCCAGGGACGTGCAGGCTGGCAGTCCCTCAGTTTTCAAATGAATGGGCAGTTTGGGGGAAGCAAGGGAGGGGAAAATCAGACCTAGAAGTCCTGGAATTATTGCAGGATTTAAGGGCTAAGCCTCCAGTGCCTCCTTATGTACGTTTGCTACCCTATTCCTAGTTCAATTTTCAAAATAAACATTTGATTGGTTCTTCCCTTGAGAGTTTTGCTTTGCCTTTGAGCTGCAGGGTGCTCCTGTAGCCAGAGCTGCTCCTGGCCTCAGGCTTTGCTCTGCTGGCCCTTTGGAGGCAGCTTAGGAGGCAGTTTGTCCAGCTCCCCTCCCGCTGAAGAATCAGTTTGGTCCTGCTCACTGTGTATAATATTCCATTTTCCAGGAAAATGGAATGTAATGAAACAGGAAAAAGGGGCTTTCTCACCATAAAAGATCAGCTCACCCCCTTTCTCTAGCCTCTTAGACCAAAGTCTGGCTTGAGCCAGCCCTGGCCTTACCTCTTTGAGAGGGGAGTGAAGACAGGAGCAGAGTTAGCCCTTGGACTCCAGTCTAGGTCTGACCCAGGAGAAATGTTACCCCAGGAACGGGAACCTGGAGCCCCTCAGTAAGAAGCTGCCTGGGAACCTGACCCTGTGTCCCAGGCGTGATGTGCTCAGGGAATAGCAGAATTCCTGCTGCTGAGGGGTCAGGACAGACGCGCAGTTGTCTTGTCTCATGTTAGTGCTGTGAATTTGAGACCCGGAACACCCACGTGGTTGCCCTCGCTGTGCCTCCCAGCTCTCAGCAAGGGAAGGATATGGGCCCTAGCCAGTCCACAAAGCAGAAAGCTCCTTCCTTTGGAATGCTGCTCTTTCTGCTCTTCAGAGCCATGGTGGAGAGCTATGGTTCATGCCTGACAGTCCTGGCTCTGCGCAGTGAGTGAGTATCGGCTGCCCCAGCACTGAGCGCATGCGGCTTCCTCAGCTGGAGGATCTCCTGCTTGTACCTGCAGTGGGGAAGTAGCACCATGGTTGCCTGTGGATTCGCTATCCTGAGTGATTTGTTTAAAGGGATGCTGCACCTTGTGTTTGCCAAGGACACACAGTGTCAGTTAATGCAGAGCAGCCAGCCCAGGCACTGAGCCTGCTGGGAACTGAGTCCTGGTAGATACAAAACCAGCCTTTTCCCAGGGAAGAGGCTTTTGCCAGGTAACAGACCTGTGAGTCTGACCTGAGTTCACAGCAGGCACTGAGTCTGTGGAGTTAGAGCAGGCACAGCTGGACCATTGCTCCAACAGATGTGCTCTGCTTTTCCTCACCCTTCCTTACCCAAGCAGCTGTTCTCCCTGCTTTGGGGTATGGTGAGCCACAAAGGGAGAGAGGACTGTACAATAGGGGCTGCTGGAAGATTTCAGCTAAGAGAGGGATTGCTTCTCTTAGTTTCCAGCTAAGATTCCTCTCTTAGGTTCCTCCACAGGATGAGTGAGCACACAGGTAAGGCCAGATACTGCCCCACTGCCCTACAGAAGGAGGGCTGGTGGCAGCTGCAGCACAGCTGGATGTGCTGTGGGACATCAGCCCTGCTGCCAGTGCTGTGGGTAAGCAGTGGCTGTTGTTCCTGGAGCACAAAGAAACTTGGAGCACAAAGCAGAGAATGTGTGAAGGGGGATCCCACAATCTCACCTCGCAAGATGCTTGTCTATGTATTCCTGCAGCTCTATCACCTGCTCTTCTGCCACAATGGCCCGAGTCAGCAGCTGGCTTCTCTCCTGCTCCAAATCCTTCTAGAGGGGCAAAAACCATAGAGAAAACTGAGATGGGAGTGACCACTTCCCCATCACTCAGCTCCAATGCCACTTATCATTAGGCTACAGAAGCAACCCCAAACTGATGTGCTCAGGGAAGGGAGATGACAGTGCAGCTTTCTGCAGGCGTCATCGGCTGGGCTCCCCTCCCTCACCAGAGCACAGGCTTGGGCACCAGGGCCACCACAGCACTGCCAACTGTGATTTCCTACTCCAGAAGCTTCACAACTGGTGCGGTGGCCACTGGATTTGGCACACAGACAGCTTTCACACCTCTACACCAAAGGGAACACTTTGCAATGAACTTAACCTACCCTTTTAGACAGAACCCCAGTTGTTTTTGCACAGTGTCTCTGGGCAGTAGATGACCACCTCACCCAAGGTAACCGTACGGTCCCTGTGTCACCAGGAGGACCTGAGGTGTTTGAGCTTACTTGCAAGGTGCACAGCAGAGCCAGGAGCAGGACCTGCTCTGTGTGCAGTGCTCCACCTCTCAGTCACAGCATGTCCATTCTTTTGGCCACAAAGATACATCCAAATTGGATGTTCATCTTTACCTGACCGGACAATGGTGAAGCACTTCCTTAGGCTGCTGTGGGCAACGTGGGAGGGGTCTGGGAGCACATCTATAGCTTTGTCTACCACAGAAAAACAAACCTCTGCTTGGTTTCCAAAACCCTTTTCCCCAAGTGTGGCAGGGACCCCAGCACCAACTCCTTCCCACTGCTGCCATTAGCAGACAGCAATCCCCACCTTAGACAAGCCCACTCGTATCACCTCGGTTTCCTCCCCACGCTGGGCCAGCCCATTCCCAAGTGTGGCACAAATATCTATGTGCCCAGGGGGAACCACACTGGAAAGCTGATTCAGATGCAGCCTAGACTTGAACCAGCTTGAACACAGACACAGTTTGTTGTACAGATGCCTTAATGTTTGTGCTGAAGCACGGGAGGGACCAATATGGTCTAGCAATGAGCAGACATAAAGGTTGCTATCCTTCCAGTAGCAGGGACAGTACAGCCTTGAGAGCATCACTTGGGCTGAGGCCAAACCCACAGCAAGGCTCTATGGAAAGCTGCCCTGCTTCAAGCAGGAGCAGTGTGTTTGCCCTAGCAGCTGACTGGGGCAGCCCACCTTTGCATGTGGCTTAGGGGCAAGCTTTCATTGGGATGGGCTGTTCCAGGCCTTTACCTGGGTGGTGTCTGTGAACTCCTGGAGCTGCTTCCTGACCTCTGCCCAGCCCTCCTCATCCAGTGGCCTAGGAGGCAAAAGCAGAACTTGATCATGTCTAGACATTCAGATCCAGCCCAGCCATAGGTCACACAGCTCTGGTGAGGGGCTGGATACAACTCATGCCCATCCAACCCTAAA